TTTTTTTTTTTTTTTTTTCCGTTGCAGCGCGTTTGTCCTCGTTATGCGTTGCTTCCTTGTGCCCGCTCCGTATTACGATATTCGCTTTCACAAAGCGTGAAGTCGTATCCATGATGGAGCTTATAAACTCGATTCTCTTTAATTATAAACATCTTAAAATCTGATTCTTTTGAGAAACACGCGAGAGAAAGTCGGTTTCCCGATTAATCCTAAGTTCTAAGTATCAATTATCGGAAGACCATGAATCATCAAGCGAGATTTGCATCCCCGGGATGCGTAAACTTGACATGCGAGCCGCATGACGTACGTTTTATCGGGCGGGGACCATTTATCGTGAGAGGTGTATCGCGAGAGGTGTATCGCGATTGTGTGGCACCAACGTGCACCCGTATATATATACATGCGAATGCGCGCGCTCTAGCAAAACGGGTTAAGAAGCATTAGACTTTGGCTTACATTGTGGTAGGTTCTGTCTGGTCCGCAAGCGCGTGTGATAATACATAGCGGCTTGGCAGAATATGAACCCGGATCAGAAATACCACTTATACACGCGTATGCAGTATCATTGTTGTCATTCCAAAGTCCGAAATGCGCGACGTCTTGCGGCCGATGATGACGGGGAGGAAGGGTGTCGACCATTAGTCAAGCTGATTAGCCGATCCGATACGATTTTTATATTTTTCTCTAATGCCAAGGTCGTGGAAATGCACGGACACGATAATTATTCCGCTGACAGCTATTTCGGGAAGCGCCTTCGTACAAATACCGTTGCGATTATGCGATTTTGTGCTGAGCAAGGATGAATATGAATATTGCCAATATAAAAAAATATAAGAGTTCGAGTTATATATTATAATATATACAACGATCTTGAATATTTTTTTTTACTTCCATATATAGAACTCCGTTGGATAGTCATCTTATCATTTACAAATTTTAATTTGATATTGAATAAAAAGTTTTCCATCTTTTCTGAATTATTTAAAAAATGTGGAATCTAATATGGATATTATTATTTAATAAAATAAATCGAAAGCAACGTGATATATATTTCTTGAAAAAAAAAAAAAATTAAATAGCTACATTTAAGTAATGTTAAATATTTAATGTAAATGCGAGCCTTGTATTACTTATGTTCGGAAAAATTGAATATATATTGCTATGTGCTTGTCGATTATTCGAGTAAAAAACGTGTCGTATCGTATATACAGTATTATCTCGCTTCATACTTTGTTTGGAATCGAGTGCTCAAGCAGTCAATCCATTTTTCTTTTAAAAAGTATCTTATATATCTTTCTGATAACTCGTCAATGATGAGAATGAGAAGATTATAAGAGAGAGAATAAAAATTATTTTCGGTATCAAAATTTGAACGTTGTTAGATGATCAGATAAGATTCCTTCAAATAAGAAAAACCGATAATTTGGTATCATAAAATGAAATAAAAAAACATTCATGAAGCGATATAATACAATATATATGTACACTTAGCCCTTTTCCCGTGTCTCTCCTCACAAATGATCGAGCCGTGAAATAAATTGTTCCTATATATTATGCAACAACTGCATTTTCTTGTCTTTGCATAGAAACGCACTTGATAAGCCGACAAATAATCGTTGCACAAGTGATTTCGAAAGCTCTGCTGCGTTTTTTACGTAATCAGAGGTCACAAATGAAGAAAATCTGTTTTGCACCGTGATATAATAGCTAGAAAAATTGAGGATTTGAATGACAGTCGAAAAATATTACATATTTTTTGTAGGAAATAAGTTTGAAATTTTCACTTTCTAAAAAATAATCAATTTTTAAATATGTAAACTGAAAATAAAATTTAAATACAAACGCGAATAATTTAATAATAATACAAACGCGCGCGTGTACCCACATAAATATTGTGATGATAGTGTATATATATATATATATATTTATGTGATGAGAATATTAAAAGTTATTATTATTATATGTAAATATATTAATATTTCGTTAATCTATGCTCACGTAAAATATGCTTTTATAATTTAATCTCAAAATATGTGTGCCACTTTTGCGCTATTTAAAGATTGCTGCGTCATTTTCTTGCATAGTACTACGATATCCTGTTTCTGCAAGATATATTTTTGACGATCTAAGCTTTTTTTTTTAATTAAGAATATATATTATCAAGGACATTATTTTATACGTGATAGCAAAAGAAAGAATTGATATAAACCACTTATTTATGATATTTCCTGTTGTTTTTCGACGTTCTTCCAAGAGATTAGCTTCGATAAGTTTGATAAGATCGGGAATTTCCTTGCCTCTGCGTTGTGAATAAGCGGCTTTTTGCCGTTTTATAATTATGTCCAAACGGAAATAAAATATGTTTAATAAGGATTATTTCTCGTCTAAACTATCGACATTAGCCATAACATGCGTCATGTTTGACGTGGCATACACTTAAAAGCAAGATATATCCTATATCATTTATTAGCATAGTTATAGAGTTTTCATATACGCGAGTATATCTTAAAAGAAAAAAAAAAAAAAAAAAAAAAAAATAAAAGATTATGCGGAGAAGATTTGGGATTTATAAGATTGCATAACTTTGGCGTGTTCATGGCAATATTTTCCTGCGTGAAAGATATGCTATCAAATTTGCATTTTTTCAACATCTTAACATCTACATCTATTTACATTTATGGATAATCATAAGAATTATTTAATAATTATAAGAATTATTAAAAGAAGAAACGGCATTGCGATTTTTCATCAAGTCAATTTTATATAGGGATTTTAATTCGTCCAATTTATTGACGCAAATATTTCTCACGATTATAAATTGTGGCCTACATACTTTGCAATTGAGATAAAGAAAACGGAACTGACTGTATGGCTTTGCGCGGTTAAAGGAAAGGGACGAAGAAACATGATATCACATATCAATTAATTTTAATATATCGTACATTATAAATTATTCCAAGGCCTCGGGATCTACATCTTTCACGCGACACGTGCATCTCGCATTACGAGCCGGTTCTGCGTGAAGGAACGCACGAGAGCTGATTAAAAGTGAGAATTAAAACATCCACGCGGTGAAGCATTAAGATATTTGCACGAAATGTGACAGTAAGACGATTCTTTCCCGAAAAATTTTAAGAATCTCAAATTGATTTTTATTGCACATTTATATCTTGGTTAAGAGGATGCCGGATCGTCCTGTTTTACCGGCCATAATAATTATATATTTGCTTAATATAAAAGTTTTGCAATGTGTACGTGCAAAATAAGATACCTCTCCACTCGGAAATGCATGAAAGAATATAAGTGAACGTTTAAAAATGTGTTTAGAAGCCTAGTAAAAAACATTTCGGTGTGCAAAATTTTGCATAGTAAAATCTTTTTTATAAAGCTTCTAAACTCACTTCTCAAAGTTCATTGATACTCTTTGATAAAATGCCGAGTGCGGCGTCCACCTGTTAGGCACGTGCAGATTACAAATTTTTTATATTAAGTAAATGTTGACGGCAGAAGCCGATAACAAAACTGTAATTTTTTAATTTTTTTTTACTTTTCATATGAAATCATAAACTCCGTTATTATGTATACTTTAATTATGGAAAAGGATTTGTTGATATCTATAATCAACAAAAATATTTTGCATTTTAACTAATATTCGTATTCTGTCGGTATCCGGCATCCTCTTAATTGTGACTTGAAATCCGTTCTAACAAAAAATTAATTTCATAATTTCAGCTCGATTAAAAAACTTTTTCATCATCGAAGCTTTTGCATCATATTGCACTGGTCTTAATTATAAAACTGCTTGCAAAAATTGAATAAACTTATATTTATGTGTTATGAAAAAGCAAATTTAAAAAATAAAAATATATATCCTACTTTTATACAATATAAAAATAATTCGTCAAAAGATATAAATTTGTCTTATATAATTTTCGAAATTTGATATTTCATATACATATAATGAACTAACAAGAATGACTAGAACTATCATAATTATATACAAAAAAAATTTTTTTCGTACGTATGTGAATCTCTTGTCAATTTTCAATATTTTATTATAGTGGTGCAACGCGTGCGCTAATTAAAGTTTTAATATAATATTATTTTCCATTTTTATATCGAAAGAGACAATATATGCATTACAATTATTTATAATTCTATGCAAATATAATAGTTTTTAATATACTTGTGTAATCTTATGAATATTTCGAACAATAATAAAATAAAGAACTTGTGTTTTAATGCTTAAATAAATTTTTATACCGCTGGATTCACTGCGCTGATATCGCTAATTACAAGTATTGTTCGGATTAAGCACAGGCTAATCAAAGTTTGATATCATAAATTCCTATTCATAGTGTGTACAACGTGAAAAAATTTCGTTAATGTACCAAGTAACGGATATAAAGGGAATGCGAGTCGATCCTAGTTTCCAAGTTTAGAATTAGATTTGTATGAACGTCGCCATGCGGTTTATCTCTCGCATTATGTTATCTTTGTATGCAATTTCTCAAGGTCTGCGACGATTTGCATACTTAACCCCTACTGACCCAGTATCGATATCCATGTTATTAAAATCTAGTATTATTCGCGACCACTCGTCGGATGTGGCATAATATTATTGCCGGGAGACATGAATCGATAATTTAACGATATGTAATTCATCGATTCAATTAAGTTAACATATTTTTTTGTTTAGTCAGTATTTCGTTTCATATTCAAATATCTTTTTTGTGATGTCCGTCTCTATATGTGTTTGTCTTCATTTACATTTAGAAATGGCGTAGAACTGCATATCCATATTAATCCAAGCATATTAATTTTCGCGCAAAGACGAAGAGACGTGTGAATTTATGTGGAATGTATCAAAATATTTTATTGTCTGGTTTCTGGCATTCGCGTATCTCCAATACGGAAAGGACGACGGAGTCGCTCGGCGACTTATCAAAAGTGCCAAAGAGAGAATCCGCATAAAAGAGACATTTTGTCCTTTGTTGCAGATGCGGAGATGGGCATGGCCGCGGGGGCAGTCGGCGGTCCCGTCCTGACTCTACCTCCGGTTCCGGTCAGCAATGCTGCGTGTGCTATATGCGGCGATCGCGCCACCGGGAAGCACTACGGTGCCGCGTCTTGCGATGGTTGCAAAGGCTTTTTCCGGCGATCCGTCAGAAAGAATCATCAGTACACGTGCAGGTATACTTGTCATTCCCGTAACGATAAATATATCAAAAATATTTTGCTTTATGTCAGCCTCGCACAAATTTTATAACGAAACCGTTCCGTGAAAAAAAAAAAAAAAAATTGTTTTTTAAATTTTTATTTTAGGCTTATGAGAAAGTGTCAGATCGACAAGGACAAACGGAACCAGTGTAGATACTGTCGATTGCGCAAATGCTTCAGAGCCGGTATGAAGAAAGAGGGTGAGTTTGCGCGCGAATCATCTATCTCACACATGTCTTACATACGATAGACTTGTCTGCAGAAACGGACCCTTATTTTAATTCTAAATGGAGAGTAATGAAGTATATATTGTGACAATACGGCAATTGATCTTATTTTTTCTTCCTTTTCTTTTTACTTTGAAGATTTTTTTTGTGTTGCCCGTTTCCACACGTATCTATTTTCATATATATTTGGAAATACGTAGAACTATATATCGATATTAATCTAAACAATAAGCGTATTAATTTTCGCAGCTGTACAAAACGAGAGAGACCGTATAAACAATCGACCACCGAGTAATGAGAACCAGACGGAAAATAGCGGCCCGTCGATGGAGGACTTATTGATGGCTGCGAGGCATATCGGAATGCTTGAGGTCAGTGAGGCTTAACCTCGGCGGAATTGAATATTTATAATTATAATTCGTTTCTCTCGTTAATGCGCGCGCTGAGAACCTGGCATGCATTATCGGACTGGAATGATCGCCGACATTTCATTACGCGGCCGTTTATTTCCCTTGATATACCTCAAGCGTTTAGTGCAATCTGTGCCATCAGCCGCCAGAAGGGAGTCTTTGTGAATTCTCTCCTTAAATTCAATAATGATCGAATCATTTACATACTACACTTCATGTAGCAATCGTAAAGCGATCTAACGCTATATTAACCATACGTATTTTGCAATTTAATGCTAGATATTCGTAGAAAAATTAACACGTGATTTAAATTTTTGTTTTCAGATTAGTCTTTTTATATAGCACTACAATGCAAGCTTAGCTATTTAAAATTAACATACGTATATTCAATATAAGAAAAGAGAATATCAGTCTTCCAAGCTCTATATTTTATGCATTAATCATTATACCAGCCATCTTAATTTCTCTATATTTGCTTCACAAATTTATTTAACTATTTACGTCGGCAAGTATTTACGTTATAATTAAATATTTTATATTTCCTCTTTTTTATAGGGAATATTTATAGGGAAAATGTTGTAAAATAGTATATCAACAAATTCTCTATTTTAACGTATAATATTTTTGTGTATTTGCTTCTCGATATATCTATACCTTATTTCCTTTAAAAATCGCAATGTCACGATGATTATGTATGATTTTAACAGCTAGGCAATCCGAAAGAAGACGTCGATCCTAGCACGAAGCGGATAGCTGGTTTAAACGACGTGTGTGACAGTATGAAGGAGCAATTGCTGATCCTGATCGAGTGGGCCAAATGTATCAAGGAATTCGAGACGCTACCGCTGGACGACAAAGTGGCATTGTTGAGAGCCCATGCAGGTGAACACTTGCTGCTGGGGGTGGCAAGACGCAGCCAGATACATAAATTGACGGACGTGCTATTGCTCGGCAACGATTGCATCATCATGAGAAACTATCCCGGTATGTAGAATCGATGAAGATTTATTGAATCGCATGATGTAGCTTCTGATTTCTCCTTTTTTTCTCGAATGAAGCAAGCGGTGTTAAACACAGAATTTTAAAATATGTTTGAAAGATGTCTCACATACATTTAAAAGAAAGAGTTTGAACATTTATCGAATGTCATTACGAGATGTTTTTCAGCATCTTCGGACGTCTGCCTTTTCGAGATTCGTATTGTATAGAAAGCTATGCTTATCGATGATTCATAACTCCGTGTCTGGCTCCGACTTGCTCTTATTCATAACACTCCTCTATGTGTTGTGCGTTTTGGCTTTACTAAATAACGACATTAGATTTCATTGTGTGGGAACGTGTGTTACGCTTGAAAGTTCTCTGGGATTGAGATCTCCTTTTCGGACGCGTATGCGAGGTGAATGTTAGGTAAACCCTTACCAATTTTCTTCTCGCGTACATTGCGCAAAAGTCTCATCTCATTGCGGTTCGGACGCGTAACGGACGTTAAATGCCATTTATGTATGTGGTATGCAAAAAATAATTATAATAAAAGTACAAAAGAATAATAATAATAGAACAATGAAATAATAATAATAATAATAATAATAATAATAATAATAATAATAAAACTAGAAAGATAGCGCACGTGAGAGGAAAAAAGATAAAGAGAATTAAAAAGAAAGAAAATGAAGTTAAAAAAATCAACGAAATTTTCCTATACGAAATATGTCGATTAAGTACACGGATAATGTAGATTTTCTTTTTATATAACCCGCGCATGCGAGGCATGTTTGAAAAAAAATCTGCAAGATATTCTTTCATCACGTGTCCTCGCGTCGCGCAGTTTTAGGTGTATAAAAAAATTCGACTGTAATCTAACGATGAAACTGCCGATGACACATTGGCTTGTTTTTCCGGTACGGTTCCCAA